AAAAGATTTTTGTATTCTTATGAAAAATTTATCTTCAAAAAAAAAAGTATGGCAACCAATATTTTTCACATACTATTTCGATGAATTTTCATTTTTAGAAAGGTAATTCTATGCTATCTACAGGATGGTCCAGAAGTTACTAGTCACTCTTTGATTACGAAGAATTTTTGATAGAAATAAGATAGGAAGCTTCGGTATTCACTATTGGAAAGAGAATGCATTACTATATAGTTCCGTATATTACCACCAATATACACATTGATTAGAAAATAATTAGTCAGCGATCTTCAGGGAAAACGATGATAATTCTATAAATGTGACATTGGATAGAAACGGTCGAAAAATCACTCAATAACCTTTAATCTTAAATAACTCTCGCACTCTTCATTTCTTAGCGTCGCTATGATTGACTATGGATCTCAGGTCAATTCGTGATGATTTCTTGTTCGTATGCTCTTTTCGCACGTACTCTTTTCCGTTTTTTTTCTTTCGCTGTACTTTATGCATCTCTAGCACTATTTCAAAGATTAATTTCACTCAACCATGCTATATCTTTACTCAACTGAAACCAATGAATTCTTGTAAATATACAGATTCATGTGACATTAAATGATATCAATGTAAAACAGCATTTTTGAAATGTTGTAGCAAATGTCATCATAGTAAATGTGTACTATATAAATATAATACATAAATAATAATATTAATGTGTAAAAATAAATTCTTTAAAAAATGAACTATTAAATAAAAGTTCATTTTAAAAGTAATAATTATATAAGTAGCAATCAGGTTAAGTATTTAGATTTAAAATATTTGTATAGTAGATCAACAATATAGTTCTTGAATAAATGAAACAAACATTTATATTATTATTGAAAATAGCATAAACTTGTATTTTATCCATGATAACTGATATTTGGATGATTCAGTGAAAAAATACATAAATAGAAGTGCCTTTAAATAAATTATATTTTTCAGAAAGAAAATTTATTTCAAAAACAAAGATTTTTTAGCTTTTATAGTTCATTTTAAAAACTGATCATCTTTTACATAGCTTTATAATATAATGTTGTATTAACTTAAACAACATCAGAGACTTTCGTATATGAAAAATAATCTACGTACAAAAATAAGAAATAAATTTTATTTTTATAATTGATGCACTATGTTTAATATAACTATTCTCAAAATATCACATAGCAATCTCTTCATAGAACAGTTATAATTTTAATTAATAGTTAATAATCAACCATTTTCAGCGCCGTTTTAAGTATGTTTTTTTTTATTTGATCAATCATTTAGATGACCAATGGAAAGCACAACAATTCCTTTAATAGTTTGTGGTCTATACTTTTTTTCTATAATATTTTATTCGATGTAAGTAAAACTGAAATTATGGTCATAGACTATATGAATTTGTTTTATCAATAATACATTGAAATTAAAAAATAATTTAAACTAATGCGATATATTAGTTATAATGTATTTTATTGAAGTTAAATCTTGAATTATCATATCTATTTCCATGTATACTATATATTATATTACTAGTTACACTCTAAAAAGCTACGGCCTGATAGTAACCCAAAAATATTAAAAAGTGTTTTTATTATTGTCACTATGTGAATCACTATTTAAGTGCATTGACTAATATGAATTTTAAAAAGAATTGGAATAAATAGGATAAAATAATGTTAATATAGACTTATATAAAGGTAGATTATCAAATTAATATATATTTTATTTTATTTTATTTAAATTAAATTTAACAAATAGTTTAAAAAAAAATAAATTAAGTTTTTTATTTGTAATATGTTATACAGGGTGTCCCATAAGTAACAAGACAAGGAAAAAAAGTTTGAATATCTCCATTAGGGCTCGACCAAATGGGCTCAATTTTTTATCAAGGATATAGGCATCTGCACACTCCAAATCCATACGAACAAGGTGAATGAGAACCTTTGTTAAGTATCACTATTGACCTCAACAATAAAATTTTTACTTTTTCACAGACAGGAAAATAAAAAAATATACTTAACAAAGGTCCTCACTAAGCTTGTCTGTATGGATTTGAAGTATAAGCATGCCTCTATTTTTGGTAAAAAAATCAGCTCGGTTGCTCGAGCCGTAATGGAAATATTTAATTTTCTTTTCGATAAAGTGACTTTTGCACTATCCTGTATATTGGTTTTTTCTTACCAGTGACAAAGCAAAAATTTTATTGTTGAGGTCACTAGCGATACTTAACAAAGATTCTCATTCAGCTTGTTCGTATGGATTTGGAGTGTGCAGATGCCTCTATCCTTGATAAAAAATTGAGCCCATTTGGTCGAGCCCTAATGGAGATATTCAAACTTTTTTTCCTTGTCCTGTTACTTATGGGACACCCTGTAATCAACGGTATGATCATACAGCATCGTTATTAACAAATGGAAAAGTGTTGGTTACTGGTGGATACTATGGTGACTATCTAAATAGCACTGAGTCCTATGATCCATCAACAGGAACTTGGACAAGCACTGGTAGTATGAATTATAGACGATCTCAACACACAGCATCCGTACTAACGAATGGAAAAGTATTAGTTGCCGGTGGAGTTGACACTTATTTTTTAAATAGTTCTGAATTGTATGATCCGTCAACAGGAACTTGGACAAGCACTGGTCAGATGATTTTTGGAGGATGTCGATATACAGCATCCGTGTTAACCAATGGAAAAGTGTTGACCGTTGGTGGACAAGGTATTGGTACTATAAATAATGCTCAGTTGTATGATCCATTAACAGGAACTTGGACAGCAGCTGCTAATATGACTACTCCACGATATTACCATACAGCATCCGTATTAACAAATGGAACAGTGCTAATTGCTGGTGGATATTCCTATGGTTACCTAAATAGTTCTGAATTGTATGATCCATCCACAGGAACTTGGGCAAACAGTAGCAATATGAATTATGCACGATCTCAACACACAGCATCTGTTTTAACAAATGGAAAAGTATTAGTTGCTGGTGGATTAGGCGATTCTTTATCTAGCTCTGAATTGTATGATTCATCAACAGAAATCTGGACAACAACTGGTAGTATGAATATCGGACGATATTATCATACAGCAACAGTATTGACTGATGGTAAAGTGTTGGCTGTTGGTGGATTTAACGGCAGTGATTTTTTTATCGATAGTGCCGAGTTGTATGATCCGTCAACAGGAAATTGGACAATCATTGATAGTATGAACAATCAACGAAGTCAGCACACAGCATCTGTATTGGTTAATGGACAAGTGTTAGTTACAGGTGGTTACATTTATCATATTCTCAGTAGCTCTGAAGCATATTAAAGATCTCAAATATATCGAATATAAACACTCTTATATTAATACATGTACGGAATCTGACCTTGTAAATGCAACTTGGTCAAGCGAACTATGAGGTTTTTTTGCTCATATTCTTTGATTTAAATTTTTTTAATACTTTTTTTTTGAGGATGTGAGTGAAGCGTGTGAGCGTTACTATAGTTAAATATATATGAATATTAATTTGATCTGCACCCGTACCCCGGCAATAGATCCTAATGACTCGTACTCAATTCAAAGTCTATTTAATTTTCAATGTAACAACGATATCATTAAATATTGTAAAACGAAAAACATAAGTGAAAAAAATGTCATCTATTAACTTTATATCGTTGCTTTCCCATGCAATTGAGAATAATTATTGTGGACAAGAAAAGTCTTTGAAATTAATGCTTAAAATCCTTTCAATTTGTTTCTCCATTCAAAATATCGAAAAATGTGACTCGTTGATAATAAATCGATGTTTTTATTTAGCAGACAGTCGCAGTCCCACATCTAACAGTGTGTTTAGAAAATAGTAAAATATAAAAAAATAAAGACAAAATTATTAGTAATCGATACGATGATGATAAATAAAAGTGAATATCCATTTAGAGTATTTTATTTGACATTGAGTTTTTCGCATTGATTCCTCTCAAGAAGAATCAAATGAATTAACAAAAATATAATTAGCAGAATGTTTAGGGTGTGTGTGGGGTGTGGGAATCGGGTATGCGTGATGGGTGTGCATGGGGAGTGTGGAATGTGGGTGTGGCTGTAACATAACAGAAGACTCACATCCAGACCAACACCCACACCCACACCCACACCCACACCCACACCCAAACCCACACCCAGACCAACACCCACACCCACACCCAAATCCACACCCACACCCACACCCAAACCCACACCCACACCCACACCACCCACACCCACCCACACCCACACCTACACACCCATACCCACACCCACCCACATCTACACCCACATCCACACCCACACCCACATCCACCCACACCCACACCCAAATCGAATTAAATAGATGGCAGCATATCCAAGCTTGCGTAATATCTTAGACATCAATTAGTTAAGTTGACAGCGCGTTGTTTATAAGGTGTTTTTAGCGCTCTCTATAATACATCTTTTGGAAGAAGAATAAAGATTTTCTCATTCTGTCAAGGTGATATACATGCAAAATTAAAAAGATTTTCCACATATTTTCATTATACAAAATACGGTAGGAACTAACACATCATGTATGTTTTTCATTTTGAGTATGGAAGAGATTCTCGGAACAAGTCAAGAGGGATTTATTCCTACAGGTTTTGTAAAGCTTTTCACGGTGGGTGTTCTGAAAAAAAAAGAAAGGCTTTACCATTTGTCTGCGCAAAGATATTCACAAAATACAACATTTTTTCGGAATACCTGCCATTTCAAAACTTTGTTTCGCGTTTTTCTCAGAATGTAGGTTTGACAACGTATTTGCAAGAAAACCCGACCATAGTACTATATAAAGTCAAATATTTTTTTTTGTTTGAAAGAGCGTCAAAAACTGCAGGTTCTGTGAGACTCGGTTTTCTGAATGAAGCTTTGTTATTATTATATTGAAAAGCATTTTTATAATTACAGCGCCATTTTTTGAGAGTTTTTCGAGTGAATGAAGTTGTCAACCCTTTTCTCTGCTTGATAGATAAGAGTTTTAAAAAAAGGAGTCACACAGGACCTGCATCTTGAGATGCTCTTTCAAACAAAAAAAATATATCTATATATTGGATGAAGGCCTACAGAGAAATCTTGCGGACAAAATGAGCAATTTTTGACCCTTGTTTTGGTTCATATCTCTGTCAAACATCAGGGTATTGAGCTGAAAATTTTACCACAGCCTCCCACATCAGCCCCAACATATGCTCCAAATTTCAGCTCATTTGAACGTACCTGGGCTGAGATCGATTTTTGAGGGGGGGGGGGGGTCCCTTAATCAATTTAATTGGTTTTTTATTTAATTGCTTAATCAGTTTGACCGACTACCGTTAAATCGGTTGATCAGTCCAACAGGTTATCGTTTTAGACTGATGAATCATTGACGGTAAATCGGTGGTTGATCGTCACTGTTGCATTCCTAATAGATTCTTAACATACCTGATGATGACTATCTAAACGATAGTCGAAACGCATCATATGATGCTTTGAATCTTTCTATTATAACTCACTATTATCATCGCCCTCTCTTAAATACCATTATCGCTGAAATTTCGTAGTGTTTTATTTGTTTAATATAAAACATATAAATAATGAGTCATTGATTAGAAAATAAAAATAATTTCGTGTATTGTAGAAGTACTTGGCGTTACAACGGTGGACTAATCAGTACGTAAGGCGGTGCTGTCTCTCGCACATGTATGATATGCAAATCAGGCGCAGGATTTATTTTCCCCAAAACTTCGATGTACGTAGCCGGTGGCAATAATATTTCTTTTTCATTGCGAACGTAGGAATAGTCCTTAATTTCTTTTCCATTTTCACATTCAATAGCAAATAATGTTCGAAGACCCCTTGTTCCTAGAAACTGAGTCGTTTGCATCACAGTTAACGTGTCTGTACAGGAGCTGAGATTCCACCAGGTATAACATTGTCCTTCTTGATACTCTTCACTGAGATCGACGTTTTTAATTCCTCGCCAAACTGTACGTCTAACAGATGGTAGTTTGTATAATGCTGTCAGAAGTAGTTTTAAATACGTAAACCATGGCTCTAATTCCCGTCGATTAGCTGTACGTAAAGTTTTATTAAGATTGTAATAAAGACAACGATCAAGAGGCAATGTCTCCATTGTATATAACTGTATGGCAGCTGATTCATCAATGGACAATATGCCATGGCATTTCTGAACATTCTTCTTAGCTATAATGATTTTTACTTGAATATCATCTAGAAGATGTTCTACATCTCGAACAGCATTTTCAAGAGATGTCAATGATTTTTTATTATATCCTGTAATAGGCAATAAAGTTTGATCTGGCAAATCACCAATATCAAAATAACGATAATTCGTTTGCTTTGAACCTTCAATTGGCACTATTTCAGTTGCTAATGGCAATGGTAGGAGTTTCTGAAATAAATGAAGGATAGACGGAAACTGTATCGAAAGTGGTTACTAGATACGACGATAGAGATATTTTGAATATACACCTTATTGTGAATTGGATGGCTGTTCTCATCATTACTGACTGTACAAAGTATTGCCATGTATGTAATGCTAATTTTTTTATATTTTAGCACAGTCAATATGTAGATGTATGGTATAAATGTATCGGTTATCCCTTTGCTCTCAGTTGACATGTCTGCGTTTTACTCTTCAGAGATATTTCCTAAGAATCATTTTGTTTGCCTTGTTTTACAACTGTTAATTTACTTGTCTTCAACCGACTGAGTTTATGGTTTGAATCTTTTTCAAATATTTTAAACTTCAATTCGTGCTAGTTTATTGTGTGTGAGTGCACGATTTCTGTTCAACTTACCACTGTGGATGTTGCTTTTTTCTCCGTATTGATATTTGATACATTAGGAGCTGAATTTGATAGACCAGTAAATTCATTATTGATTTGAGAGGGTTGATAATTGTCCTCGCTCACTTTTTCACGCTGCTCAAAACAATACCGTAGTTTTTCAACTGGACACTGTTCCCGCACCTCAGGTACATTTGCATTTCCGAATACATCGTCAGCATCAACGGCAACTGCAGTAGTTGGCTCGACTATAGTATGGGACGATGAATCCGATTTAGCACTGTTTTTTTGTCGTCGACGTGCGCGTGACTCACTGATAGACAAATCTGTCATGCTTTTTGTGATGATATTATTGGTTGATGGTAGATCTGTAAATTCAGACTCCGATGGCAACATTAAATGGCTTTGTTTTTCCAGCAGTTTTCTTTGAGCATGATTGTCAAGCCTATCAAACAGTTAGATATAGGTACCTGGTTATTTTTTTCCATCACATGTACGGTGTAAAGTTAGCTAAAATTACCTTCGTTTAGTATTTTCTAAAATTTGCACAATATGTTGTTGAATATATCTATTTTTCAGAATTTTGTCGGCTGTTGGTCTGTTCTCTGGTCGTTTCGATAACGTAGCTTTAATAATTTGTTTCAATTCATCACTGTAATTCCCATGTATTTGCGGTGTCTAGAATAGGAAGAGTTGGTAGTCCAATATGACGTGAATTCAATTTATCTATGAATCTACCGAACTTACGCGTTCTCGTAGTATTTTAATAACAAGTGAATTCATATCTGTAGCTTCAAATGCCTGGTGAAGGCTAACTATTTCATACATACAGCAACCTAATGACCATATATCGGTCTAGAATCATAAAAATCAAAGATATGAATCAGTTAAACTATGCCGCTTTTGAAGAGTTATCTAAACTCACCTTTTGATCATACGGTGTATTTGAAAATATTTCTGGACTCATATAATATGGAGTACCAATTATAGTTGTGGCCAAGTTGCCGACATCATCAAGAACTCTGAAAAACAATAGAAACTGTTAGTTGACGTTGATATCAAACAAGATTACAGCAGATATCAGCTCACTATTGCCATCAAGTCCTCCGAAATCTCGAATATCGTTATTGAAGGTTTTATCTTGCGAATGTTCTACTCATCACAGCTCTCAATAATAGTACATATAGGTTCACATTATTTTCACAGTGCTCACCTGCTAATACCGAAGTCTCCAAGTTTAATAATTTCTTTTTTAGTTAAGAAAATATTTTGCGTTTTTAAATCTCTGTGCACTATATGTCGGTCATGTATATACTGCAAAGCCATACATATTTGAACACACCATTCAATAACTTTGCTTTCTTCGAACAACTGATTTTCGGATTCTTTCTCTCTTATTTTCGTATACAGATCACCACCGTCACAATAATGCATAACAATATTTAGATGCGAATCCCACGAACGAAATGATTCAACATATTTAACAATATTTGGATGTTTCAGTGTTGACAGTAACTTTGCTTCTCGCTCAGCTGTTTTTTGTCCTTCGTCGGTTATGCTTTGAAGATCCAATCGCTTTAAGACGTACTAAAGTTGAATAAGAAAACCAATTTTTTAGCGAAGACTTACATAAAATTAGTATTCACTAAATACAGGGTGGTTCAAAAGTAACGCACCCAACAAAAAAATTGAATATCTCCATAAAGGCTTGAGCAAACGAGCTGATTGTTTTGTCAATGATAGAGGTATGTTCAATGTTTATATCCATAAAGACGAGCCTAGAGAGACCGTTCGTTAAGTATCACCAGTGATCTCAACAAAAAAATTTTAATTTTTCACAGATAAGAAAAAAAAGGTACTTTACAAAGGATCTCTCTAGGCATGTCTTTATGAATATAAAGCTTGAACATGTCTCTATCATTGATAAAAAGATCAGCTCGTTTGCTGGAACTCTAATGGAGATATTCAATTTTTTTTGTTTGGTGCATTACTTTTGGACCATCCTGTATATTCCAGCGTTATCAGAAAACGAAGTTAGCGATGTTATCGCATCGTAAAGAAAAGGCTTAGCCAGTGCACTTACTCGTGTGCTTGTGGCGATCAGGGATATTGGAACCACTAACCATATGTCGCCGTAAGATCCCTTTCCAATTTGTTTAATAAATCCGTATCGATCTTCAACACTAAACTCCCGTTGTATTCCTGTCGCCATATCTTTCAAGATTTGTTAAGATTCTATATATGTTTCGCAACATTTTATATATTACCTTCGCAAATTGGAGTGAGTAACGTGAAAAAGTCCACCTATAATATTCGGCGAATTTGTTTCTCGTTATGCAATGATTGCCATAAGGTGTACGAAAGTCTGAGTAATGCCCTCATTAGCAACTTCATGTTTTCTGTAAAAAATTTGCAGAAAAAGTCTACTATGAACTAAGACAAAAAAAATTGTCTGACGCATATGTGAATGTTCATTTGATGCATTATGAATAGATGGCAGCATCTAGTGATGTTATATTTTTTCTAGTAAAAAGTATACTAAAATAAAATGTGTCGATGTATCGCAACGAGCACATCGTGTCGCATCTCTTGCGTTCTCCGCTGATTATCATATGCAACCAGCGGAGAACGCAAGAGATGCGACACATAAAAAGTACGGCACGATGTATTTGTTTCAATACATCGATATTTTAGTGTGAGTGTGGATGTGGAGAGGATCAAGATGCGTACTCACGCCCACACCCACACCCTTATTTAATAAATCTGATAGTCAATAGAAATCTTTCTCTAATTATGTTCGTACATCGATACATACTCTAAAACAAAAGATTGTTGTACAAATAAAACATACACTTTATTTATTATGTTTATATGTTACGTGAATGAGTTCATAAATGATGAGTATACGAATCTATCTTCAAGACTGATTATGAAATCATATGTAAAAAGGAATCTTCTTTTCAAAAAACCAACTTTTCAAATATAATTAAGTACAATCATCTTTAAAACAATCCAGCAAATGGGGTTTGAGTACGACGGAGTCATTTCGTTTAAGTTTAGTATCTTATTTCGATTACACCAACTTAAAGTTTGTTTTGAGAACTGGGAACAATAAGGAATAAATATTCTGATTTGTTTTAACAAAATGTATTTGTAATCTCTTTGTTAACGCAGAAATAAATGCAGTTTCATGTAGTTTAAGGTAAATCTCATCGAATCAACGGAACTTTTATGAATATTAAATAACGTCTCTATGAGTTGGCCTTTCGAGAACAACAACGAAAGAAATGTTATTTGCACAGTCTAGTTTACCCACAACAGTCAAAAGAAAAACAATTGAATCATTTAGTAAAATAGACGTTGTCTGTAACGAATGAATGGTTTGAATTAACAAATACACAGCAACAAATTATGTATACATTACATTTCTGTACATGTCACAGCTTTGTTCATTTTATTCGTGAACAACTTGATCACATTCCTTATTTAGTTACTGTCGTAATTTTTTGATCTAC